TCCAGAGTCAACAAGTTTTTGACCAGATTTTAGTCGCGTGGTGGCCTAGGTCACCTGAGTGATGACGTGTCACACAATATGATGACGTGTCACACAATATGATGACGTTTCTCACACGAGTCTCGCTTGCACGGAATCACATGATAACCTCGCGGTTGATTGACGTCACGTAACGGAACTTATAAGGTACCGAAAGAAATTTCGCTCGTAAAAAAAAAAATAATTCCTGAGGCCAATCAATGTTCACTAATATTTAATCTTCATGACCGGCGAGTGTGTTTTCGATCACACCAAATCAATATACCTGCATATCATAGCATTTCTATTTATGCCTTGCTTGTTCAAATCTCAAATCATTCTTTTATATCTTATGGGTGGCATTTCCGTTTTTAAAAATTCAATTTGTTTGTTTCATTTAAGCAGGATAATCGGAGTTACACAGCAAAGTTTTAGAAGAGAAACTTGAGTAGGTTGTTTTAAAGCTTTGACATTTTTAAACAGTTTTGCCAGTTTGCAAAAAACAAATAGTATGGTAAACGTTCGTCCCGATTTGGAGCAAAGAGGGTTTCTTTCAGAGTTTTTTTTTTCTCCAGGAGGGTCGCACTTAAAATTCCCGTTCTGTGTAGAATCATTAAAGTATATATTTTCTGCATACAATTTGATACCTATTTCATTAGGGAGGAGGGGGGTGGCCTGGGGCGATGGGCGATGGGCCCTACCCCCCCCCCCCCCCCCCTTACCGTGAGATATATGAAAGAAACAACTAGATTAACTAGAGCCATCTAAATGTGTGCGTTCGTGCAGCATAAAAGGAAAATATATTCTTACTGATATTGTTTACTTAGGTAAGTGTATACAAATCACAACTGATCTGCATCTTGTATAGATCGATTAATCGATATCCGTTCACAACAAATTAGGTTTCGATGACCTAAAGATATTTGGTATAACGGTAGGTAGCAGCTCTCCCCCCCCCCCCACCCCACTCCCCCCCCCCCCTCTCACGACTTGTGTCTACCCTGAGCTAATGACCAGTTCCTAAGCTAACAACAGAACTTGAGCGCTATTAGTGTCTGGAATTGTTGCTGATTGGTTGGTATTTTTAGACTAGTGGTTTGATTAGATCAGGTCCTAAATGGACGGTCAAGAGGTTGAAGAATGGACAAAATCTAGACTGCCCGGGAAATGCATAATTTGATGTTTCACTGACTGAGAGAATTGGACAAATATAAGTATCGCCGGCTGAGAAAAGGACAAATTAAAATATCACTTGCTCAGAAATGGGCAAATAGCAGCATCACTAACCCAGAATCGGACAAAGAAAAGCGACAACACCCAGAATCCATGCTGTAACCTACATACCGACAAACCTGTGAAGTACCAGTAACCGGAAATGGAATACTCTAGAACCCAGTCTGAGATCAAAGACTGGCCCCACCGTGTTCTTAATTGCTAGTGTTTATTATATTTAAAGACAAGTATTTAGATGTGTAATAAATTCTAGAAACGTATGACATAAACTTAGGGAGAGAATGTAGTGTCTGAGTGCCCATTTCCCACGTTACATTTTGAGCCCAGATTTAATGTAATGTGATCCAATTTACACTTCAATCTATTTTTGTATCCATCTATGTCTTTTATCAAGAAAAGTTTTTTTTCTATATTAATTCATGATAAAATTGGCAATTCCCTGAAACCTTTTAACTCCAAAAGAAAATGAAAGATGGAAAAATTTCAAGATAGAAAAAATAAGTTATTCTGGTTTCAGTAGAGAATATATGTATGTGAAATAGATTTTAGCGAAAGATAAGAAAGGAATTCTGATAAAAATACTTTGTGTTGTTTTTGTCAATGGTTTACCATCGGTGAAAGCTGTCGCTCAATAGACATAGCTATTTAAAGAACTGAATGGACATAACGAATATTTCGCTGTATAGCCCGGGTTTCGATACCGGGACTTCAAGGGCGTCAAGCGTGCGCTCTGCCGCTAGACCACGACATTCCACGTAAATACACGGTTATAAAATGGTAATAATCTTGTTTTTTATCTTCGATTATGATAGTTTTCTTACAAAGGTTTATCTGTTAAATTTGTATAAGTTTTCATTAAAATTTCCTGTTTAAGTTATAGGACAATATCCTTATGGGGCAAAAAACGATTACATTTATTCTGTCTCGTCTTTTTAGTCTTTTTTTTCAAAATCATATTTTATAAAATCGTTGAGGTGTTTACTCGTTTATTTATTCGTGGGATCTATGACAATCGCACGTGAGACACCTACACGAATGCCGTTTGTCTGGAGGTCTTTGGTCCTTAGGCCGTTTGTCCACAGGTCGTTGTCCCCAATGGACGTTTCTCCTTTTGCCCGAGGGGGACAAATGACCGAATGTACAGGCTAATTTCCATCCCGGTATACGTCTGAAACACTGACCAAGATGGATTTATTTAACGTGGATAGGTAAATGACCTTCACATGTCTGACGAACTGATCAAGATCGATAATATTTTTCGTGGATAGGTCAATGACCTTTACATGTCTGACGAACTGATCAAGATCGATTGTATTTATCGTGGATAGGTCAATGACCTTTACATGTCTGACGAACTGACCAAGATCGATTGTATTTATCGTGAATAGGTCAATGACCTTTACATGTCTGACGAACTGATCAAGATCAATTGTATTTATCGTGGATAGGTCAATGACCTTTACATGTCTGACGAACTGATCAAGATCAACTGTATTTATCGTGGATAGGTCAATGACCTTTTATGTCTGACGAACTGATCAAGATCGATTGTATTTACCGTGGATAGGTCAATGACCTTTACATGTCTGACGAACTGATCAAGATCGATTGTATTTATCGTGGATAGGTCAATGACCTTCACATGTCTGACGAAGAAAACAGTAAAAAAATAACTGCAACAACAACGTTGATAAATATAACGACAAGTCTATGTCACGTGACTAGCCACCCACTCACCCCCACCCTTTCCATCTGTCGAGGTCAACAACTTTGTACCTGGGATGTGTTTGACCTAATTAACCGGGTCTACGTCGGGCCCAGCTGGGAGAGGAAATCCTGTTCTTTGATACGCATTCGACGAATATATATATATATATATATATATATATATATATATATATATATATATATATATATATATATATATATATATATATATATATATATGTATATATATATATATATATATATAGATATATATATATATATATATATATATATATATATATATATATATATATATATATATATATATTCAGGCGATACGCTAACCAAATCTACTTTGACAGACTGGCGCTACTATAAATATTGGACACGTACCTTGGGTTAAAAGTGTGATACTTGATGACTGATGAATGTGGACTTGGAGAAGATTAAGTGGTCAATGACCTATAGGTCAATGACCCACTGGTCGATGACTAAATCGAAATCGACTAAATGAATGATGACTAGCTAGACGATGATTTGTAGGACAATAACTAGATGAAAGATGACCAATTGGTCGATGACTAGCTAGGCGATAACGAAATGGTTGATGACCTACCGGTCAATGACCTACAGGTCAATGACCTACAGGTCAATGCCCTACCAGTCAATGACCTACTTGCCGATTACGAAATGGACGATGACCAGCATCTGATGTCAATGTAAACTCTCACACAAACATTGTGATAATCCCTTCTTATCTATTTAAGTATTGGATTCTCTATGATATATCACGCATTGATTAATAATTATAAGCGATCAAAAACGTGGGGCGCCGTGATTTTCTTACAGTTTTTAATACTGTTGACTCTCTACAAGCTCCCTAACAAAAGTCAATAGTATTATCTAATCAATAGTAATATAACTTTTACTTCGGCGCCCCACGTTTTTGATCGCTTATAGTAGAGTGATTGCTTGCATTATTGTGATGTATAGCATTTATTTTCTACTTTTTAGTTCAATCAGAAAACGTGGGTTTTTTAAAACTTTTAATGATTATTATTCAAGGGCGAACCAGGGCTATTGGAGTTGTTTCCCTTGGTGAACTTTTCAAGAAAGGATGTTATAAATCTGGCTCGCTGGGGAGTGGTATTTTATTTATTAATAAAAAAAAATCTTAAAAATAATGTATCAGTGTCTTTCTTTATAAATAGTGCTTGTTTTTTGTTACAACTTAATAATAACAATTTTTAAGGTTTTAATTTATTAATATATTTTTTTTAAAAATGTGTCTTTCTTTTTCAACATTGTTTTTTAGGTTACTAAATAACAATCGTTTAAAAGAAGTTTGTATACCCTTTTATAAAGATTATAATAATGAAATTAAATTGCAAAAAATTAAAATGTTTTTATTAGTAAGAAGAATGTCAATCATCATTACAAAATATAAAAGCGTTATGTTTTACATAAAGTCATCAATGTTTATTCAAAGTTGGCTCGTTATGCTTTTCCCGTTTGTGCCCAAGACACATGGGGCAGATGAAGTAGAGTTCATCTGTTTCAGTGTCCTTCGGCATATGAAGGGATAGTGTGGTCAGCACTATGTCCAGTCGCCTTAGTTTGTTCTTTGACGTGAAGTAGGTACACATCAGAGCTAGGTGGACGCATACAAGTTTTACTCAGTTGAACCCGGATTCGAACTCAAGACTTTCGGGTTAGCAGTCTAGCGCCTCGCACACTTAAAATGTTTTTAAAAAGTAGTTACTCTATCAAACAATGTGGTCAATGAGGTAGATGAAGTAGAGTTCACCTGTTTATCTGACCTCGGCCTATGCTGAAATATTGTGTTCATTAATATATCCAGCCTCCTTTATTTCCCTTAAGTTTCAGGTACCCACAAAATATGAGTGAAAATATGAATGTCCTACTGACTCCAACCAGGTATCTGAACTCGAGATTGTCGTGTTAGCAGTTGTGTGCCCTACAGTCCGACCACGCCGTCCCATTTAAAGAGTTGGCCACAACCCGGAAAAATCAGCGCTAAAATGAATACTAAAGATACATCTAGCACCGGCAAAGCCAAGCCATTTTTAATAACAGAACAGAATCGCCATCATCAAAAAGGAAGAAAGGTGACAGCCCCTTATTAGAGAAAGGTAGAGCAACAAAAACAGCAGTCTAATGAGCTTATGACCTGCGGGTGCTGCTACAAGATGTGCAACACCCTAGAAGAGTATGTTAAACATTACAAAAACCAAACGAATTTGACAGTATACGGAATTTTCCCACACTAAATTCCCACACACTAAATTCTCTCAAACTAAATTCTCCCACACTAAATTCCCACACACCAAATTCTCCCGCACTAAATTTTCCCACTCTAAATTACTCCACACAAAATTCCCCCACGCTAAATTCCCCACACTAAATTCCCACACACTAAATGCTCTCACACTAAATTATCCCACACTCAATTTTCCCTCAATAAATTCTCCAAAACTAAAAATCTCCTAAATCTAAACTCGATACAAAAATAGTCTCCACCGAAATCGCCCAAACATTCAATTTCCCCATACTAGATTCCATCCCCTCCCTCCCCCCCCCCCCCCCCCCCCCCACATGGAACTATTAAAAACAGACACAGAATATTAAGGTTAGTCCCGAGAGGTGTAACACAGTTCACAGCGGTTTGCTCTCGTCTTTTGTTTGTGTCGCGCGCTTGGAACTTTTTTGACAGGGGAAATAACAGACAATGTTTTTTTTGTAATGGGAGGTAATTATAAAATTAAACTATAAAAAATAAAATAAAAAAGTATAAATATAATTGAAATAATAACCTGTAAACAAACGTTAGTATTAATTATAAAAAATTTAATTACAACAACAACATTTAAAATTGTAGTTGATTATTAAAAATGTGTTAATTACAATTCCTAGTAATTGTTAGTTTTTAATCCAATAATTAGTAGTCTCCAGTATCAACCAGCTGTAATATTTATACAAAGAAGGGTTATAAATAAATTATTGTAGTTGGAATCCAGGTTCGTCAGTATAAAATACCTCAGCCCACCCAGCTTTGGTTGGTACTGAGGTCCCAGAATCAGATGAACTCTACTTCACTTGCCCTATGGACCGTCCGGTTAGAGGGTACAGCTTAGAGGGTACATCTCTAGTAATCGAGTCTTTCACTTCCGTCCGCAGCTTAGCGCATGCGTGGGCCGGAACCAGACATGGCACGAGGACTGCACGAGCACGCCCTGGAGTAACAGGACATGGAGCATCCAGAGGCTCGCCACACAGGTCGACTGTGACGCTTTCCAAGGCACGAGGTCAGAGATCGACTGTTGTAGGTCGATGATAGGTGAGTCTAGGGGGTCAAGGTCGTCTAGTGTAGGGTGGCTTAGTATTTGAGTCAAGTTCTGAAACAACCACTGTTACTTTGAAAGTTTCAATTCGAACAAACAGGTAAAATCAATATAATCGATGAGATCATTCACCAACTGACTGGTTTAATCCCCCCTACCACCCCCCTCCCCCTATTTCATTCTTCCAGAAGTTCAATGTAAAAGAATTTAAAATAAAACCACAGTATTATCCTTAAATGAATTTCATGGTAAATTTAACTGGCTTTTAATCATTTCAAATTTGACTTTGTGCTAATGTCGTGCTGGAGGTTAATTATTTATATTCATGAAATGTACATGTAAGGATGTCATTAGAACTGCAGTTTGCTAGGGTTATCGTAAGGTTGGGTATTTATCTATATGAAATTAACATTAAAAAATAGCTTTAAGCACCGTGGTTAGGCAGTAGAAGCAATGCATTGAACAGCAATTTTTCATGTTTTTATACATATTTATAATTTTCTAAATTTCATGAAAATCCCGGTTTTCTTTTTATAATTATAAAATATATTATTAAAATATTTTTGACACTATAATTAAACACTTTAATGCAATTCTGTTGTTTGTTATTTCTAATTGATTTTGTTTTACAATTAGGTGAGTTTTTATTCAAGGGAATGTACTCTACATTAAACGACAATGCTTTTGGAGCAATCATGCTGGTTATCTCCCTTACCATTCTCTGCCTATGTCTGGTCGCCATTATCAAACTGCTGCACTCCCTTCTCCAAGGCCCCATCGCTCTCATCATCAAAAAATTCATCAACGCGGACTTTCCCGGACCGCTGGGCTACCTCACCGGATACCTCGCCATCATTATCGGCGCCGGGTTGACCATCATCGTCCATAGCTCCTCCATCTTCACCTCCACCCTCACCCCGCTCGTCGGCATCGGGGTCATCAAACTCGACCGGATGTACCCTTTGACCCTGGGGTCAAACATCGGCACCACGACCACGGCGATTCTCTCAGCCTTAGCCAACACGGACGGCCTCAGAAACGCGTTACAAGCAGCCTTCTGCCACCTCTTCTTCAACATCACCGGCATCCTCCTGTTCTACCCCATCCCCTACCTCCGCATCCCCATCCCGCTTGCCAAATTTCTAGGCAACTGCACGGCCGAATACCGCTGGTTCGCCATCGTCTACATCCTCCTCATGTTCTTCCTCTTCCCCGCCCTAGTCTTCGCTCTCTCCATCCCGGGCTGGTACGTCCTCCTCGGCGTCCTCGGGCCCGTCTGCCTTCTCTTCATCATCATCGGCGTCATCAAATGCCTGCAGGCTAAACGTCCCCAGAGCCTGCCCAGAAAGCTCCAAGACTGGATGTTCCTACCCCAGCCGCTACGGTCTTTGGAACCCTATGATCGCGCCATGCAGAAAGTCTTCTTCTGCAAGCGGTTACAGACAGACTCGACCGAGAAGACAGACACTGGTGCCACGTCAGACAGACAACCTAACGGAGAGTCCAGCACGCGACTTTAGTATGACCACGTGACATTGTTTACAAAGAAAGTTCGATTCTTGAAAACCTATTTATTCTATATTTGTATCTTGTATATGATTAGATAAATAACATTCGTTTAAATAACATTCGTTTTAGTTCAATATGTATATGTAGCATGTATATAGCTTACAGAATTTTTAATGTGATATATTATTTAAAAGATTTTCTCTGGTAATTTTTAAAAAATAAATAAAATTATTTTTTAGGAATTTTGAGCTCTGTGATCTTGTCATAAGAGTTTTGTGAAATTTTATACATTTTTAATAACACGAAAAAGTTGATTTAATTCTATTATTGCTATCATATTGTTGTCATTTATTTCCAAAATAACTTTACTGGTCCAAACTTAAGGCAGTTGGTACGATAACTGCACGTCGTACTAGGTATTTGAACACTCTGCCTTTGTACCACTTTGATTGAGTTGTCTTTTGACGCGTTCGTGATTTTAACGCGAGGCGATGTTACGTTCATAGTGGCCAACTTAAGCCACCTAGGCCACTTTTATGGAAAGGCAAACCGGGGCCACTTTTATGGAAAGGCCACTTTGCATAGCCCAGATAGAACACTTCAAGCATGATGCTCGTTGACACAAAATGTACGAACAGATCTAGAAATAGAAAAAAAAAACTTTCGATTAAGTAAGATGCCAATTAGTGCCCCCCCCCCCCACCAATATTTTTGACGGCGTGGTCGGACTGTAGGGCACACAAATGCTAACACCTCGGATGGGTCCATGACTCAACTTACGGAAATAAAGGAGGCAGGATATACTAATGAACACACCGAGGTCACAGAAACAGGTGAACTCTACTTCATTTACCTCATTGACCGCCTTGTTTTATAGAGTAACTACTTTTTTTTATCATTTAAACAGTGCGAAGCGCTAGACTGCTAGTGTTTCTTCCAGACTAGGGTGAAAACTAAGCATAGTCAATGTACACGGACCACATAGACCCCAAAAACAGTAAATTTTGTGAAAACCTGGAACAATTACTAACAGATACAACCAACCGGGGACGTCAATTTCGTGGAAGACAGTTTAGACATTGAAGGACCAAAAGACAGAATAATTCGAAACCGCTTAACCGCTGACAAACCACACGCCGACTCAATCAACAACATTAAAACATATTTCAATTTAGTTGACACATACAGAGCGCAATATCCACACACCATACGAACCACCCACGGAAATAACACATCTGGAAATAGATTCCGTCTAGACAGAATTTACGCCCCAGTGAACATGAAAATCAACAAAGTAGAACACCTATTCTCAACACTACAGTTTAGCGACCATACAGCAGTTCTGACAACTTTAAAAAATAAATAAACACAAAGCAAACAAAAACATAACACATACTGGAAAATCAATAATACATTATTACTAGACGAGCGCTACATCAAAACTATAAAAGACATAATGCAATTTTACACGCAGTCTTCATCAAAATTTAACAAAATCCAACATTGGGAAGATTTAAAACAAGACATTAAGCGGGTATCTATTCAATATGCTTGTAGCATTAATAGCGTTAGGGCCCACATAGAAACTAAACTAGAAAAAAAACAACTAAGTATGCTTAAGGGAAAAAAACAACAATAACATAGAACAAATAGACTCAATAGAAACGGAACTTTCGAAAATAAAAGAATATAAATATAGAGGGACACAAATCAGAAGCAAAATAGAGCAGATAGGTTCGGAAAACCAAACACACCACACCCTCATTCTAGAACAAAGCATACAAAGATCAAAACAAATCAAACAAATAATGGACGAAAACAACCAAGATACGACTGAACCAAGAACGATTTTAAAATCGACCAGCGCTTTTTATTTAACTTATCTTCATAATCTTTTCCCCTTCGTGCCCAATACACAAATGGCAGATAAATTAAAGATCGTGTTTCAATCACCTCGACATACAGGGAGATAATGTGGTCAGTACTAAGCCTATCCGCCTTAGTTACCTAAGGTGCGCCAGGTACCCATCAGAGCTGGATGAACTCACGGAGCCCAACATAACTGAGTCCGGAACTCGAGACATTCGGACTAGCAGTAGAAAGCTTTGTGTTTAGTATTATAGCTTAAAAAGTGTACACTTACTTTTGTAATTTAGCGCTTGTGAAAGCTCATAATATATAGGGGATAAGACATGCTTTTTCCCTACTATTTAGTCTTAGATGAAGAAATAAATAAAGCACCGTTATACAAATGACGCAATCCGTCACATTGTCACATGATCCGGAGGTCGATTAATCCTAACCCAGAAGGACAACTCCCCTACCCCCCACTAATGCAAACACCCCCACTCAACTTACCCACAGTAAACCCAATCACACGTAGATTTATTTATATACACACAAACATTCAAATAATTTCCTTTACCTACACTACAACACCACATAATCATTTCTCCCACACTAAATTCCCCCATAATAAATTCCCACACACTAAACCCCCCACACTAAAATCCCCCACACTAAATTATCCCCACACTAAATTCTCCCGCACTAAATTCTCCCGCACTAAATTTCCACATACTAAATTTTCCCACACTAAATTCTCCCACACACTAAATTCTCCCTCACTAAATTTTCCCGCACTAAATTCTCCCACACTAAATGATCCCACACTAAATTCTCGCACACTAAATTCCCCCATAATAAATTCCCACACACTAAACCCCCCACACTAAAATCCCCCACACTAAATTATCCCCACACTAAATTCTCCCGCACTAAATAATCCCGCACTAAATTTCCACATACTAAATTTTCCCACACTAAATTCTCCCACACACTAAATTCTCCCTCACTAAATTTTCCCGCACTAAATTCTCCCACACTAAATGATCCCACACTAAATTCTCGCAAACTAAACGCTCCCACACCAACAATCTCCCAAATCTAAACTCGATACAAAAACAGTCTCCACCAAATTCACCCAAACATTCAACTTCCCCATATTAGATTCCATCACACACCTCCACCCCCGAACCCCCCCCCCCCCCCCACGCACACCACATGGAACTAAACCAGACTCAGAAGATTAGTGTTAGTCCCGAGGGTGCACCAAGGTGTAACACTGTTCACAGCGGTTTGATCTCGTCTTTTGTTTGAGTCAAAATATCTCGCGCGTGTAACTTTTTTGTTAAGGGAAAAAATAAATATGGAGTTTTTTCAAGGGAGATAATTATACAATTAAATGATAAAAAGAAATGGAAAAAATAATAATATATTTTTAAGCCAAAACAAATAAACAAACATATGTATAAATTATAGAAAATTAAAATACAAAAAAGGTATTTCAACTCATAGTAATTGTTAATTGTTAATCGAATAACTAAAAGTTAATTTTTAATATTAATACCGAGAAAACTCATCAAGCATTGTTCCATGGAATTTTGTGTTTTCTCAAGATATTTTCTTTTGCGTGAAGATTCTATATATATATGTTTTTTTTTCTTTGATTAGAAACATACATCACGACAAGAAACATGGCACCCACGGCTTATGAACACATGCATGATTGATGCTGGGAGACGGGTATCACGTGACAGATGCTAAGAGAAAAGTTATTTCATTCCGTGGTCCGGATTACTAGTGGGCTAATTATGGTTCAAGTTTCCGGTTAAATTAGTGGCGCGGTTAGCTTAGCGGTCTGGCTGAGTAAGTATTCCTGCTACCGCAGTGGTCCGGCAAAAATCAGTGATCCGGCTTACGGGTACGGCTAATTCAGTGGTCCGATAATCAGTGTTCCGGTTAACTTATTGATCTGGCTAACTCAGTGGTCCGGCTAGCTCAGTGGTCCGGCTAGTTTAGTGATCCGGCCAATTCAGTATTCCGGCTATTTCAGTGGTCCAGCTTACGGGTTCGGCTAATTCAGTATTCCGGCTAACTCAGTGGTCCGGCTAAATCATTAGTCCGGCTTACGGTTCCGGCTAACTCAGTATTCCGGCTAACCCAGTGATGCGGCTAACTCAGTGGTCCGGCTAGCTCCGTGATCCGGTTTACTAAGTGTTCCGGCTAACTCAGTGTTCCAGCTAACTCAGTATTCCGGCTAACTCCGTGGTCCGGCTAACTCCGTGATCCGGTTTATTATGTGTTCCGACTAAGTGTTCCGGCTAACAGGTCCGGCTAAGTGTTCCGTCTACCGGGTCCGGCTATCTTACCACGTGTCAAACAGATCCGGTTACCGACCTTGTTACCGCCGCGCTGATTGTGTTTCTCACCCGGCTGGTCAATGATTGATGCACGAGCTACTGGGGTGTACTCACACCGCGCTTATCCGTGTACCCGTGCGAATGCCCTGTAGATAGCGAATGGTTTTTTTTTTTTTTTTTTGTGGCGCCTGCTGAAGAATTAGGGAGAGGCGGGGGTGGGGTGAAGTGGGGGTGAAATGCCCACAGATTATTGGTGTTAGTCCCGAGAGTGCACCCAGGTGTAACACAGTTCACAGCGGTTTGCTGTCGTCTTCTGTTTCTGTCAAAGTATCTCGCGCGTAGAACTTATTTGTCAGGGGAGATAACAAACAATAATTTAATTAAGGGGAGGTAATTATATAATTAAACGATAAAAAGAAAAGAAAAAAGAATTAATACATATTGAAAGAAAAACCAGTAAACAAACGTTAGTATTAATTATAAAAAATTAAACTACAAGGAAATAATTTAAAACTTTAGGTGTTTAATAACAAAATGCTAATCACAGCTCTTAGTAATTGTTAGTTGCTAATCCAATACTAAGTAGTCAAAAGTATCAACCAGCTGTACTATTAATACATAGAAAACTATGATAGTTGTATTGCACGGAAAGCGATATCTCAAGCATTTATTCCATTTCTGGTTTCTCATAATCAACACCTAGCAAACAAACATGCGCAGCAAAGTCGGATTCAGACAAACCAGCTGCATCAACAGCCCAAAAAACGAACACTCTGCTCTCGTTCTCGGATATGGACATTACTACAACT